ACTGTCATCTGAGAGTCATGAGTCAGATGAATGGAGGGTTAAGAAGTGGAGAATTATAAAACACACTGACAAGCGGGCTTTGGAACACGGCAGTCTTCTGTTTGGCCCCTGACTCTCTCACTCTTGCTGTACCTACCTAATTTTCTTCAGTTGTTATCTGGGAATAATAAAAACGAGTAACTCTTGGCAGGATAGATTTTAGCAAAGGATTAGAGCGAAGAAGACGAAGGATAGGATTGTATCTGGCTGCAAGCACAGGCCCTGGATGGCTCTGCCACTTGTTACCTGTGTGGCCTTGGGCTAGCCCTGTACCAACCTCTCCCTAAACCTCAGTTTCCTCATGTGTAAATCTAAATTTGTTCATAATAGGATCTACTTCAGAAGTTTGCTATATGGATTAAATAACCCATAGTAGATGTTTGATATAGTTTTTAATGAGCATAAAGCACTTGGTGATGCCTAGGGAAAAATAGGTATCTAATAAGCTGTAACTAATACAAATTTTAAGTTGGACAATGTAAGAAGTGTATACATATTCTGAAGAAAGGCTGGAAAAGTTTCAGAAAACAACAGATGATTGTGAATCTCTGAAACAAAGAGCTCACACTGTAACAGATTCTGGGACAGGGACTTACACAAGCTATTATCAACAAGGGTCCACTGTCCAATCTCTCAGCACCCTTGCTCACGTTAGCTGGTGTCCATGGCACCACTGTGCACATATACACAACATGCCTCTCCAAGGAGAGCAGCTCATGGCAACAGTGGCATCTATTCTATTCTCCATGGCGTCTTTTCCCTAAGGTTTTCTTTAATGAGTGTCAAAACTGCAAAAGAACACACAGGGGATGGGGACAGAGGCTCAACACAATTGGAGACAACCATCCAATTTCATAAATATTTATTGAGCATCTACTCTGAGCCAGGAACCTTCTCTCTCCTTCATGTTGCAACTTCAGTGGTGACTCTGCAAACAGGATTTTGCTATTCTAAAATAAACTTTCATCTTACCTACAAGTTTCCAGAGCTAACATTTGTGAATTTTCCTCTGAGAAACACATTTAACATTGTGGACACAGCTGAATTAGACCTGACCAGAGTGGATATGACTGAAAACTGAATCATCAGAGAGTTGGCGTGGTTTGCCTGGGACTGGGAGAGAGTGGGCAAGGGAGGCTCGGTCTATATATGGCAAGAATCTGGTATCAGATTCACAAGTGCAAGCTTCTTGGTGTGTCCGCTATGATCTGGCTCCCTCTTCATCTCTTTCCGCTCTCCCACACACTCCCTAAGTTGCCATCACCCCATCCTGCATATAAAACCTGATACACACTCACTGCCTCTGTGCCTACTCTGTATGGAATGTCCTTTCCTTGCTCAGCTCCCATCCTGGACTATAACTGTCTGTGTGCAGGTCTGTCCCTCGACACTGGGAGTTGCTGGAGGGCAAAGAGTGAATCCTATTCATATCTTTACCCAGAAGGAAGCAGTGGGGAGAGGACAGAATTGAAGGCTGGTTTCAAAAGGAATAACACCTGTTTCAAATGCCAATTCTGTCACTTACTAACCAATGACCACCGAAAAGTTACCCTCTGTGTACTTCAATTTCCTCCTCTGTAAAATGCAGACAATCAGGCATTTTATTGGGTTGTTGGGAGAATTAAATCAGTGTGTATGTGTAAAGCACTTAGAAGAGTGTCTGGCACAGGGTAAGGACCATGTACAGTTGTTGTTCATCGTTATTGTTAAATGCATGTGTGCCCTGCAGCCCAGCACACGTCTGGATGCATGGGCTGCCTCAGTGCTGCCCTGCGCAGGGGACCGTGTGCCACCCCTCAGTATGCACTCACAAAAGGAGACAGACAGCTTTCACCCTGGTTGGTGTTCACGACCTTATTTCTTACCTGGGCTATCCGCCCACCCCTGCCAAAGCCAGCCAACTGGGACTCCCAAATCCTGTGGGTTACATGCAAGAGACACCGAGCTAAATGCCTTGGGCCCCAGCCCCCAGGGGATATCCATGCTCCTAGAATGTCAGTGCTGAGCATTAGATGACCTTGTCTAACACAGTCCTGTAACAGATGGGGAAACTGGGGCCTAGAGAGGCTGTGTTTGCACTCTGTCTGACCTGGTTTATATATATGTTACTTGTCATACAACTTTGTACTAAGACTAAAAATATCATAATCATAATTTAAAACTGGAAAGAACTTTAAAGTTTATCTACCTGGCACTCTTCAAACTTCGCATTTTAGAGTGTCAAGATGTGAGATGTGAGCTCTGTTGAAAATATTTCATTCATTCATTTGGTGAATATTTATTGAACACCTATGATATGCCACAAGTCAGATGCTACTCCTGTTCTGAGGACCTCACAGACTAATAGGGATGAGTGACATTAAGCAAATAATCACACATCTGATAGTAAAGTCCTATTGTTATAAGTGAATTTGTTTTAAAATACACTAGAACGAGCACCTCCACGTATGTGTCAATGTGTTTCCAGAGTGGGAGAGAAAGGCAGCACTGGGGGTGGCCGGGGAGGTCACAGGTTGTGCCCTGGAAACTGCCCACCCCACCAGGTTCTCCAGAGCCAGGGACTCAGGGAGACTAACATCACCATCATGTAGCCGCAGCAGAAGAGGGACTGGGATTCACTGAACTAGATCAACCCATACCATTTGACAGATAGGCAAACTGAGGCCTAAAGAGTTTAACTCATTTGCCAAAGCAGCATAGCCGATAAAGAGAAGAACCTAAAATTCTGTAGTGGACCACACAGCCTTCCATAAACAAATCTACATCCCACCTCATAACCACAGTCTGACCCCTGCTCATTTTTCCAGCCTCAGCCCTCTACTATTCCACCCCCCAGTCTATGACCCAAGCATAGTGAATCACGGGCAAAGCCCTGAACGTACCTCTACTGTGCCCATTCTACTCCCCCTACCAGGAACCCAAAGCCAATGGCCCCTAAATAACTCCTCCTTCTCAGTGCTCAGAACTCAGCTCAGCCTCTCTCCTCCAGGAAGCCCTCCCCGAGATTCTCTACCTCCCATAACACTAATACCTTTTCACATACAGAGAGAAACAGTCATCATATAATGTATTCATCCATTCAACAACATTTATTGAGCACCCTCTATGTACCAAGCACCTGAGGACACAGCAGTAAATAAAACAGAACCTCTGCTCACATGGAGCTTACATTCTAATGAGCCACATAATACACAATAGCATGTCAAGTAGAGTCTAGTGCTACGGAAAAAAAGAGGGAGGGAGGGAGGAAGGAAGGAAGGAAGGAAGGAGAACAGGGGTCTGGGGAAGGGATCATGGGGAAGCCGCTCTGAGGAAGCAGCATTTGATCACAGATCCAAAGTGACAGAGTAAGCCATGCAAGTAACTGGGAAAAGAGCACTTCAGGAAGCAGCAGTGGAGGCCTTTAAGTACGGTAATGATTCCTTTACTTGTGTTTTATCCTTTCTGATAAAGATCCTTGAGGGTAAAGGTTACAGCTTAGGCATCTTTGATTCCCAGGGCCCAGCATCCACAGTGAACACTTACGGACTGAGCGGGCCAGCATGTATGCTGGTGGTGGCTGAGACCATCCAACTCCCATAACCTAGCCAGCTTCACGTCTCTCCCAGGACAGAACTAAGCTACGCATAGGGCCATAGTATCATGGCACTGACAAGTTCTCCAACTTGATCTTATTCTGGTCCTCTTATCTCTGGCCTTGACCTGGAACCCTGTTCAGAACTGGGAATCCTCCCTCACTTTCTCCAGGATTCCTAGGTATGAAAGTCCTCAGTGGAATCCCAAGTCCCAAGGCTGGGGACCGACACCTGGAGTCAGACTCCCCAGTGGCTAACCCCTACCTACCTGGAAGCCTGTGCTGCCTGCTTCCTGACTTCCCTCCAGACCACATGATTCCCTCCTGCTGGGACACCAACCCTCTGACCTCATCAGTCCTTTCTGTGGCCATCTCTGCATGATCCAACTCCATAAAGCTGTTCCTGAACATCTTCCCTAGCCAAGGCACAGAGCTGAGTACCTGAGTGCCCACCTTGCCTGTTCCATCGGGGTCTGTCTCTAGGCCCGACTCTCCTCATTACAATCCTGACACTCCTGGAAGAGTGTTAAAATAGCCTTAGAAGCTGCAAATAAACTCAAATGGCTTTCCACTCAGCCAACTCCAACAGACACCTCTGGATGTTGTTGGTGCTGCGTCCCAGCACCCACCAGGTCTAACATGGGTTCAGGAACGAATAATCCATTTCTTCATTCACCCTTTCATCCACCACTTCCTGACACCTGCTATATATCACGCCCTAGAACACAAAATAAGGTAACTGCCCTAATACTGATGATGGTAACGGTGATGAAGAGAGGGAGGGGAGGGTGGTGAGATTACCACTGACTGCCCACTGTGCTACACAATAGGCTGTGAGTCTTCTCAGACTAACGGAACTATGAGAGAGATATTGTTGGCCTCGCTTTACAGAGGAGAAAATTGGCTTGAGTTGAGGTAACTTGCTCAAAGCCGCACAGCTAAGCGACAGGATGAGACACTATGTATGTCTTCCTCCAAAGTGCAAACTGCCCAAGAGACGCACAGTAAGCTTTAAACAGATTATAACTTAAATGAAGAAAATGAAAGAGAGGGTCCCAGCCCCAGGGACTCACAAGTTGGCTTGGGAGACATATATATAAACAAATATCTACCACGTGGGGAGGCAAGTGCCAATGGCTGGGGACCACAGAGGTGTAGGGGGCCCAGAGTTAAGGAGTGGCTAACTTGATCGGGAGGGGGCTGAAAGCCTTCCGGGAGAAAGTGACCTGGGGGCTGGGCCTTGAAGGATGAGCAGTTTGCGGCTGACAAGCAGGTTGAGCGTGGCGCACCGCGGGAGTTCACCCTCAGACCTGGCCTGGGCCGTGCTGGCTCCTCTGAGATGGTCCTGTCCACCCCCCTGTGCCCACGCGGCCGGGCCGGGTCTCACCTCCTTCCACTTGAGCTGGCGGATGCTTATCTTCAGGGCATCCAGGGAGGTCCTGGCCTTGGAGCTGTCCACAGTGACGGGCCTCAGTGTGCAGGACTGGTCGGCCCTGCGGCCCGAGCAACGCTTGCAGCTTGAGCCCTTGCTCCTGGGGTTCCCGTGCGGGCAGAGCCCCCGCGCCGGCGCCGGCTTCGTCTTGGGCCGCAGCGTGGGCGGCGGCCGCGGGGCCACACGGGTGTCCCCCTCCTCGGCCGCGCGGGGCTGCGCCCGGGCCGGGTCCTTGCACCGTTCCTCCGCCGTCTTGCGCTCCGGCTCCCCGGCAGCGCCCGCGTCCAAGAGGACCTGCTCCGCCGGCGCCTTGTCCGAGGCCACCGCCTCCTCCTCCCACCGGGCTGCTAGCTCCCTCTCGGAGCTGCCCCGCTGCATGGCGCTCAGGGCCTCTGCCGGCGCCAGTGCCGCCGCCGCCGCCGCCGCTCCGGCGCCCCGGCCTGCGGGCGAACTGCCGCCGCTGCCAAGCGCTCCCTGTCCGAACCCGTTGCCATGATCGCTCAGGCTTCGGTTGACAAGGGCAGGCGCCGCCTCAGGACAGAGCCCGAGAGGGGACAATCGCCGTCCAATCCTCAGCGACCTCGTGAGCTACAGGGTCCACGTGACCAGGCCTGCCACTGAGGCGGCGGTGGCCATCTTGGAAGAGGGCGGAAAGCCGCGCCGGCCCGCCCCCCCGAGACGAGCTGTTTCTGAGTGCACAGAACTTGGGAGCCTAGAGGTGAGGTAGATGGAGGGTAGAACGGTGTTGAAGACTTGCGGGGCTCCTAAGCCTGGGGACTTGGAAGAGACACAAAGTCCCAGACGAGAGGCCCGCCTTCCCCACTCCCGTGCACACCCGCCGGGGTCACGCCGTCTGCAGGAGAAGGCGCAGCCTTCCAGGGAGCCCCACCCTCCGGGCGCGCCTGTCTGACGACGGGCTTGGCAAGCCCAGGCCCTCGGGGAGCAGCTGTCCGTTTGAGGAAACACCCTGCTAGTCCTAGGAGAGCCGCAGGCGGTTCTGAGAGCTCCGGTGGGATGCGGAAGCCTGGAGAAGCCCCGCAGCTTCCCAGCCAAGTGGAGGGCATTAACCTCTGCTTTTAATAGGTCAGATTTTTTTTGTGTGTGTAAAATAAACATAACATAAACGATACCCCTTTAACCATTTTTAGGTGTACAGTTCCATGATACTAATATGGTTGTGCAAAAGTCACCACCAACATCCACTTCCGAACTTTTCCAACTTCTCAAATTCAAGCTCTATACCCATTAAACCTCAACTCCCCATTCTCCCTCCCCCAGCTCCTGGCAACTGCCATTCTTTCTGTCTGGATTTGACTACTCTAGGGACCTTACATATGCGGAATCATGCACTCTGTATCCTTTTGCACCTAGCTTATCTAGCCCAGCATAATACTTTCATGGCTCATGTTGTAGGGCGTCTCAGGATTTCACGCCTTCGTAAGGCTGAATAATGTTCCATTTTACATATCTACCACATTGCCTTTATCCATTCATCCATCACTGGAAAATGTCCATTGATTTGGTCTGTTTCCACCTGTTGGCTATTGTGACTACTTCTACTATAAACATGGGCTCACAAATACTTTTCAAGTCCCTGCTTTCAATTCTTTTAGGTTGACATATATTTTTAAAGCCAATCCAAGGAGTGGCCCCTCACCTTACAGGGCCACATTTGGCTTTTAGGGAAGGCAGTTGGGAAGGTAACAGCACCCCAGACTGTAGACAGTAACCATAACTGCAGACTGGCAAACTTTGCTACACACTGCACTATAGGGTGAAGGGACACAGAAGTTATCAAGTAAGGTGACCCCTCTTTCTCACTCATTTTCCAGGTCTCTTGTTTGTTTGAGGCCAGGTTAAATCAACTGCCTTTAAACGCTCATTATACCCAAGAGGGCCAAACCCCACTTTTTAGCAGCAGAGGGCGCCCTCACTTCTTCCTCTTGAGCCCACCCTGACTTTATTTCAGTCAGACCATCTGCACGTAAGTTACCTAGGGTGCTTATTTAAAATGCAAGCTCCAGAACCCCAAACCCAGAGAATTTGATGCAGAACATCTGGATGGGCCTGGAGTCTGCGTGTTAAATTAGCTCCTTCCCTGATTCTAAGGAAGCCAAGGTAGCCTTTCCCAGGCCTCTGGAGGTCCTTGGAGCTGTCCATGGTACCATGGAGAAACCCTCAGCACCCCCCAATCTCTCTTCACTAGCCTACCCCCTCAAATCCTGTTTCTCCTCCTCCTGGCATCCCTGGTCTCAGCAAGGCTCACCACCTTTATTCTTAAACCGGTCCATTTCCAAGTCTTGCTAAGTTTTACATTTGAAATGTATCTCCCATCTTTCTCATTGTTCCAGTTCAGGCCTTTGTCCCGGGCCAATGCGCCAGCCCCTCATGTGTACCCTTGCCTCCATTTTCCACCACATCCCAGCCACTTCCCACACTGCAACCAGACCTTCCACTCTCCTGCTTAGAAGCCTACTCTGGTCTCCCTCCATCTTCAGATAAAGTCCAAGCATGTTAATTGTCCTAATAGACCCTTCCTGACGATCATTCTCTGAAATCATCCTCTTCTCCCGGGCTCCATGCCTTTGAACACATTGTTCCCTCAGTCTGGACTTCTCCTTCCTTTGTGTTTCTGACTGGAAAACTCCTAAATCAGGATTCACTCAGATGACTCCATCTCCAAGCTTTCCTCCATGCCCACAGGCAGACATAGTTACTCTCTCTACCTTTCTACTAATGTGCATGTAACCCTCCACCATGGTCTGTCTGCCACACTGTACAGAAATTATCTTAGTGTGCTCCATTAGTCTGGAAGGAACATGTCTGGTCTGATTCATCTCATATCACCTCAGAAAGCAGTATGAATGCATAATTAACCTGTTTTCATTTCACTTGTCAAATCTGTTGGAAAGGCCATTCCATGTGGAGATACTTATTTTGGACTTGCACCACAAAAATCTTCTGCCTCAGGGGCTTTGCACATGCCCTTCCTCTGCCAAGAACACCCTTTCTCTAGATCTCTGCCTACTTCTCCTTCAGCGCTTGGTGTAAATGATACATATACAGAGATACAATGATGAAATGATGATGCAAGAGAGGAAAACAAGAGGCTTCACTAGTCAGTATAAAATTAAGTGCCAAATGAGGCAAAGAGCAAAAAAATTATTTAAGAGTTCAAGGAATGGAGAATTTACTGTGAATTAGAAAGCTAGATAAGAATTACTCTAAGAGAGAGAATATAATCTGAGTCTTCAAGATGGAGTAAGAATCAGGTAGATAGGAAATAGGTGAGGTGGCCATTCCAGAGGCTGTGGGCAGGGCTGCCATGTACAGTCACACAGGTGAACATGGGGCCCCAAAAGGACTGAAGCCCAGCTTGTGCTCTGCCCATAAGGATTTACCCACTGAGGCTTTGTCCACCATAAGGAGGCACCTTTGCCAATTGGTTCAAAGGCTCCCTGGGCTAGGGAAGGTCCTGTGTTGAGCGCGAAGGGAGGAAAGGAGTGGTACAAGTTGATTTAAGAAGGGAATAATCATTAGCCTTTTCAAGTACCAGGAAATAGATCGGGCTACTTTAATCACAGGCCTCTGGGGAAAAGAGAACATCAAACAAGGCCCTTTAAGCTCCAGGTCAAGTCTCTGAACACCACGGTGAGCTCTGATTTCTCAGGAAACCAAGATTGTGTTAGTGGAAAGTCCAACCCCATATGGGACTTCTCAAAGAGAAGCTGGGGAGAAAAGAGCAGGTTATAATTAGGGGCCAGGCCTACTCCAAATGATATAAAAATGTATAAAAAAGGAGGTCCCTCCTTTTCCTTCACAGCACTCCCCAAAGCTTCCAGGGAGAGTTGTCTTGTTTGTTTACTTGTAATGGTCTGTCTCGCTAGCCGGGTCCAAGTGGCAGAAGTAAGGAGTGTATTGTTCTGGTGGCCACCGCATCCCATTGCCTAGTTCAGTGCCTTGCAGACAGTAGATATTCAACATTTATTGAATAAACAAATGAATGAATGGGAAGTTAATCTGCTCAGCTATTCAATGATAAGGAAAGAGTTAAGCAACCTATTGCAGGTGCTGTGGATGAGCACGTTAGCCACTTAGGAAAAGGTGGATGATGTAACATAAAGCAAACTGGTGCAGGCATTGTAATTACAATGCTTAAAAACTGTTCTGTGTAAACAGGGCCTGGAAGAATACGGAGGCAAATGAGAACAGCTGTGGTGCTGGAGACACGAGATCTCAGTTGAAATTTTCCTCTCAATTTTAGCAAACTTTATCAACATTGAGGCTCTTCAAATCCTTAGACCCAGAAATCCATCCCATTTCTAGAGATTTATATGAATCAGAAAGGCAGACTAAGCTTTCTGTGGTGATCTATTATCAGTGAGAAACCCTTCTGCCCCAGGCATTGTGCTAAGCCTTTTACATACTTAGCGATGTCATTTAATCTTCACAACAGCCCTGGTTAAGTCCTTGTTAATCACATTACAGGTGGTAAAGAAAATGGTTACTCAGGGAAGTCACTTGCCTGAGTCACAGAGCTACTAAAAGCAAAGACAGCATTCGAACTCAGGGTATTCTGAGATGAGTACCCAGCTCCCAATACCCACACTAGCCCCCACACCAAGACCTTGTGCACAAAAATATACAATGGGTTTGAATATAACTGAGTCCCCATATATGTCTATGCATTTATCCATAAATATAGACACATTAATCCTCAGCTATGTGAAAACTGTATGCAGAGGGAAGCACTAAAGGCAAATATGCCAATATGCTAATGGTTATTATTAGTGGTTATTCCGGTTGGTGGAATTAGGGTGACTTACTTTCTTTCTTTATTCTTTTCTGTATTTTCCAAATTTTCTACAATAAGAACTCATGGTTTTGAAGATTACTGGGAAAATGTAATTTTTTAATAAAAAATGTTCCTTAATTGTTGTTCTGTCACTTTTACAGCAAGTCCATTTCTGGGGAAAGCGACAGGAAGGAACCGTTTGCGGAGAGGGGAGGAGGCAGCTCTTACTCCCGCTGGTTGCTTCGGCTGTTGGTATCAGAGACCACCACCAGGTGGCGCCTGCGGCCCGGATTCTGAAGAGACGGAGGCTCGGAGGCGGCTCAGGGAAGGGCCACGGCGGCAAGCATCTCGGTAAAACCGAACAGCGCCCGGTTGGGCCTATTTGCAAACACATTTTTGCACCTCTCTGGACTTTGGGCAGCTCTGCTCGCTCTGCCCGGTGCATCCTCTCCCACACCCAATAACCGCCTGTCTGCTCAGTGGCTGTTCATCCATCCTTAAGGCTCAGATCCCAGATCTCCTCCTCTTAGACAAGGTGTGAGGGAGCCCCGGGGAACACTGGGGTTCCTCAGGGACGAGCAAACGGCCTTCACGTGCAGTTTGGGGTTAATTTTCTCAAATAGGTGTTTGTTTGTTTTTTGTGCGTGTGTGTTTGTTTTTTTGTTTGTTTGTTTTGCATGACAATTATCTCCACTGTTCACTGAGCACACGTGCATCAGCGAAGACATTGATTGGTCTTCTCCCACCCTGGACTGGAACTTGGGCCAACAGCGGATCTTGGGAGTTGTCAGCCTCCACAATGACATAAGCCA